GGTTTTATGTTTTTTTTTTTCTGAAATGGGAAATGACCTTCCAAATTTCATTCCAACTTTCTGCAAAGTATTCAACTCCCCATTATGCTTTTATCCCTTCCACCATTGGCCAAATTGATTCAGTGGGCATGACCATTGTAATTTAGAGTGCACATTAGCACAGCGTTCTTTGAAGACTTCAATATTTGACTGAATGTGCTCTTGCTTGAGGACTGGAGTCATTTGGAAAGTTTTCACTCCTTGTCTCGGCTAGTTTCCTTTGATGCTGAAAAATATAAAACTCTGCTTTTAAAACGTTGATTTGACCCTGATGACTCAGCCAGTGGCAGTCTGTTTTATTTATTTGGGTTGGGGCTCATCAAAGTTGTTTGAGGTAAAATACTACAAAAATTGCCTCCCAATATTGTTCTCATCCATTATTCCAGGAGAGGCTGTCGCTCTCTTTAATGACGCCTTGTTGCTTTTGCTATTCTATCCATTCTACCTCTCTCCCGTCCTTCGTTTGCCAAGCTGATTCATTGATGTCTATGGCCAGTCTCCATGACCAATGTAAATTTAGGATGCTCTAAGCCTGCCTGCTTACTGATGAGTTCTTTGAAGACTTTGATACTTAAGTGACTGCAGGTCAATTGTTTAGGATTTTCTTGGTGCTTCAGGTTCAGTTCGAAAAATTAAGTTGAATTTCTATCTATTTGGCATTAAACTACCCTGATAGAAAGTAGCTCTTACGAACAAATCCATGTCAATGTGTCTGCCAAAAAATTCTGACCTTGCAAATGTTGTCTTTTGGGTGGGTTAGGATTAAATTAAATCACTTTGGATTGATTTTTAGGTCCTGGATCTACAAGTATTACTGAGGAAGTTGTTTCTTGTGTCTCTGGTCACCGTTACACTGTTGTTGTTTGAAACAGGATCTAATGCTGCTTTTCGACCAACCTTTGTATCACTTATCGACTCCACTCAACTCATGCCTTTGGGGGCTTTTCCACCACACTCTTTACCCTCAGACAGGACTATTCCTGTTGGTGAGGTTCTAAAACCTGGCTGAAACATGCTGATTTTTCTCTAGTTGAAGTGTAGACCTTCCTTTCTCTGATCACAGAAGACTGTCTTGAATGATTTTATCTCATCCTTTGTACAAATCTTCAGAAGGCTTCTCAGCAGGGTGCTCTTCGTCTGGTTCAAAGAAATATTGATGCAACGACGCTCCGTGCCTGAAGATGGCGTTTGCTGTTCAACAATTGACACTATGCCAAATGTGGAAACGGGAAAGTAGTGCAGCTAGAAGACAACAACAGTGAAGAAACCAAAGAACACATAGAAAAAAATCATGGATATCATTTTATCCTGTTGGCGGCTGGGAGCTGTTTGACAAAAATGTAGAGAAAAAGAAGAATTTGTATTGTGCTGTGGGCCGCCAAATGGCTCTTTTACACCCCACTTTCATCCTCAAAAGAGCCAGCTTTCAGTGGTAATGCTACTTGTGAAAAGAAATCTAGTATGGCACTCTGATTGGCACTCATTTGTTCAGATGTGTGATGTGGTTTTAGATTGAGTTGCGTTGTCGCACAAAACTTTGCATCGATGTGTATAGGCCTTCAGATGCCACAGCTGCTCAAAGGAGTTCCACAGGGTTCAGTTCTTGGCTTCCTGCTCTTTTTAACATACATCACCTCCCTGGGTCCCTTCATCCACAGACTTCCCTACCATTGTTATGCCGACGACACTCAACTCCATCTGTCATTCCATCCTTATGACTCTTCTGTCACAACCCTCATTAACAGACTGTCTGAACATTATTTCAACATAGATGAAGGCCCATCACTTACCAGCAAAGACAGAACTATCTATAATTTTACCATAGGCTTAGAGTCCTCTATAGTCTCTCCCACTACCTTCAGGCAGGTTCTGTCAGACTGCTCCAGGACAGCTTAGGGCTACCAAGGTAGCTTATCACCACCAGTGTGTGAATGTGAAAAATTGTAAAGTGTTTTAGGGTGTCTAGAAAAGTGTAAATTGAAGGCAATGAAGGTTTATTAAGAAGGAGCTGAGCTGACAAGGTGAATTTAGCGGCCTATCTATGTTCCTATACTTACCTATGGACATGAGCTATGTGGTTATGGCCAAAAGGATGAGATCCTTGAAACAGGGAGCTGGGGACTTCTGGGCAGCCTTGTATAGATTGCTCCAAGTTCCGGATAAGTTTATTGTTGCTGTCTGGAATAACTTATCTTATGGACTTTCTACACCACCACTCATGTTGTGCCAGTCACAGGTGAAAATGGTGAAAGAGGCACTAAACCAAGTCTTGGAAAAGTGACTGGCATTGAGAAGGCACCAATCCTTGAGGCCGCAACAAGACTTGAGGATGCGCCAGGTGTTGAAGGGGTGGCGAGAATTCTAGTAGCACAGAATTCTGGTGAAATCAAACAAAAATCAGGACCACAGCCACCACTGAAACAGACACTACTGGAATAGGCGCAACTTAAAAGGGCAGCTGATGCTTGAATAGGCACCGTACACTAGGGAGAGTTTTAGTGAGGTGTCAGGCTTCAGATAGATGCCGATCATTGGAGAGGTTCTGGGCTCTGGAGAGTAGCTGTTGGCGTAACCTGGAGGCTCAGGGAAGTAGGCTGGGGGATTTTAGGAACAGCAGCATCTCGGTGGAGCACAGAATTGCTGACACTACAGTCCAGAGCATTTCCTTTAAGTGATCCAGAGTTCGCTCTACCACTGAATCACTGGTAGCAATGCACTTCCTAGATCAAATGGCGTTGCAGGTATATACTCCGATATCCAGGGAGCCACAAAACAAACATCTGAGAGGCACTTGAACTGGGGCCGAAGTTCTCCCTCCTCATCAACATGAAAAATCCACTCCATTGAAGGCCTCTGGTCAGTCACCATGCTCTCCTCCTGGTAGGGAACACAAGGAAGCTTATATACACAGGGGATTCAGGACACCAGGGAATCAGGATAGCTAGGGCATGAACAGATGAACACAACGAGACATAATCGGTTACAGGTGATGGACAGTGACAACAGAACCAGTGTGACCGATGAGAAGTACCGTATTTTTCGGCTCATAAGACGCACTTTTTCTTCCCCAAAACTGAGGGGGAAAAGTTGGTGCGTCTTATCCAGCGAATGCAGAGCGCCACGAAGTCCGGTCACGGCCGTATGAGAGGCGTAAGAGCTCCGGGGCTAGGCCAAAGCCGCGGCCATATTTGTACACCCGGTGCTGCGCGCAGACGTCATCGCCCATCTCTGCCATAGCGCGGTCGTAACGAAAATGGGGGAAAAACTACATTTACCACAATGGCTTCCGCATCCATACTCACGAGCGAAACTACAGAGCTCAGCTGCCGTTTCTCACACATTGAACGTAATACTCTCGCATTTGAGTGATCTCTCACGCTACAAACCCAATTTCTCACGCTAAAATACATTTCAAGATGTGAAATGGGCACAGCTAATAGTTTATCTGTGATGTTTCTTGAGCCTGATGTGACGCGTGTGCCGGATAGCCAGTGGAAAAAGAAGGAGCTTCAAGACGAGCACATCATCCCAAACTCAAACCTTTATTTTTAGCCTCCTTCAGCATCACAAAAGTAAACAATAAACAGCAGGGTAGCGGTCCCAGGGGAAGAGCAGCGCACACACTCGTCTCCCTCTCCGTTTCTCCCTCTCCTCGCACACACTGAGGGTTTGGGGCGGAGCTCTTAAAGGGCAACATACATACAAATACAATGTGGTACATATACCTAGCAGTGGACGTTACACTTACATTAAGGAGTAGTTTAATTTTACATTAAAACAATTATTATTTAATTATTAAATAATTATTATTTTACATCTGAGGGTGCCCAGATTCTTTTAAAGGTTTAAAGGGGGGCTCGACCAAAAAAGTTTGAGAACCTCTGTATTATTACTAATGTGGGGGCAATCTTACTACCTATTATTAGTAATGTAGTGACAATGTTACTGGCTATTACGGTATTACTAATGTGGGGGCAATGTTGCACTGGAACAGTGATGATGAGTGGGGGCAAAGTAAAACATTACAGCCTTTTTTTTGTTACTTTTACTGTTTACTGTCTGTTCATGTTACATGTTTGGCTGTTAACTTTTACACAGTTGATATAAATCATTTTACAAAAGTATTTGGTTAAGAATCTTTTTTTTCTAGATCTTCCTCTTTTAAAATTGGGTGCGTCTTATGAGCCGAAAAATACGGTAGCTTGTACTAGATTGTCGCAAGTTGATTTGAACTCAGTATAATAAAACATACTCTGTCCTGTTGCATAAAAGAATTCTTGGCTGAGTGAATATGCAATTTTTCAAAATTTTAGACTAGTTTTGGACCCCCCCCCCCACCCTGATGTGGCAGTAACTGTGAACCATCTGTATGTGCGCTTGTGCTTGTAAGTGTCACTGTTAATGTTTAGCCAGACATAAGAGTGATTGCTCTGCGCTTGCAAGTCAGCACTGGTGGATGTGTCGGCACACACTGAAGCGAATGTTTGGTCAGATTGTAGGGAGCAGGTGATGGCTTTTTTTGAGTGCACCCTTTCACACCCCTCTTATTTTGCGCTTGAGCAGCGTGAAGAGGTGGGAGAGGCAAGGGCCTCTGTCACTCTCTCAGGGGCTGCACCTGCCCGATCAGCCTGTGCGTGTTGGGGAGTGAGTGTGGCTTAGGGGGAAAGAGATGCTGAACTTTGACCAACTGACCCCAGCTGTTGCTTGAATCCAGCTGAAGTCACAACATCCAGTAAATTTTAGCCAGATTCATCTGAATAACTTTGTTTGGTTCTGAACAATTACATGTCCACATTTGAGAAAGTCTCTATAGAAAACAAAATGCATAAGGAAAATAGGCATTATTCTTCTGTAACCGATCTGAAACCTCAAAAAAAGATATACCAGTTCTGGAGAATACCTTTAGTGCTCAGCCTAAGTGAGTACACCACACTACATTTGTCTACTTTAGTTTCCTTTCAGATTAAGTGGTATAGTGGTGAGCATAGCTGCCTTCCAAGCAGTTGACCCAGGTTCGATTCCCATCCAACACAATCTCTCTGTGATTTATTGATGTACTCCAGCCTCTCGCCCAATGTCCACTAGATATCGGCAAACCCCCGTGACCCCGAAAGGGAATAAGTGGTTTGAAAAATGAATGAGTTTCCTTTCTGAATCACTATTCTGAGACACTATACTACAAAATACTCCCACAAAAAAGATATGTTCATTTGCACATAGAAAAAAGGGATTTTCCTAACAAATTAATTCAAGCCACGAGTATACCCTAATTAAAGTCTTAGGAGAAAAGTCAAAATTCTAATCAACAGGCATCAACCACATGTGAATCTAATGGTTCCTTAAGAAGTGTGCAGCAGATTAGATGACTATAAATGGGCATTACTTCACAAAGAAAAGCCTTTCCCATTTCATGCTGTTAACAATGGTTCCCCATGGAAGAAAAATGTCACAAAATCTAAAAAAGGAAATAATTTCTCTACAAAAAACGGTGAGAGCTATAAGAATATCGGCAAAGCTTTAGAGAGCAGCCGAAATACTGTAGAAAAAGTGATGCAAAAATATAAGAAAGATGGAAGTGCAACCTTTTTGAGACACCCAGACCGTCCACAGAAGTTAACAACTTGAAAGGAGCACCTTCTAATAAGAAGGGTTCAAGAGATGAAAGGCAAATTCACTGCAGCTAGCTAAAGCAGTAGAGAGATAAACCGGAGCGAATGTTTCCCGTGACAACATTCAGCACACACTGCAGAGGAATGGCATTCATGGGTATGGATGTACATGAAGGAAGCCTCTCCTAAAGCCAAGGCACACACAAAAAAACAACACTAGATCGTACAATCTATGGCATCACAAAGGTGAGGATTTCAAAGACAAATGCATGCTGCATACAGTCAAATTTGGTGGTAGCAGTGTTCTTATGTGAGGCTTCAGCATTTCATTGATGGCATCATGAACTCAACAACGTTCTGCTCTATATCAAAGGAGAAGATGCTGCCATTGCTCAGTGCACTTTTCCAATGTAACAATGATCCAAACACACGTCTAGAGCTACTGCCGCATTTCTGAAGATGAACAGGGTGAAGGTGATTTATGTATTTCTCCTGATCTGAACCCAATTCTGAAGTGACAAGCTGAGCTTCACTCTCCATCCAGCTCCAGACAAGAAGTTATTCTTGAAAAATGGAAAAACATAGATGCTGCAATCTGTCACCAACCTAGAAGACTTGGTGCAGCCTTTAAACATCACAGTGCTCTAACAAAATACTAGATGTAGTGGATTTTGTTGCAGGGTGTTCTTACACCACACAATTAGAAGCTTTTGCTTGTATCGTTACGAATCTGTTTTCGCTTCAGAAAGTGATCCATTTTCTATTAGACTAAAACATCTGACTGAACTAATTTAAATATAAATGATAATATAAACAAATAAGAGATTACGACACCACAGCTAAAATATAACAGAATTAGTCATAGCGGATCGCCTCTGCACTGGCAGAGACTTTTACAGCTGAAGAAAGAAAAGGAACACTTCTAGAAACAAGTTATCCAAGTTATCCAAAGGAACAGTACATGGACAATTTATTATAAGTAAAGCCAAGTCTATAGTAATGTTTTTTCTTAGGTAACATTCATTGGACGCCATAAACAACTTCAAATTGCCTAACTATGGAAAAAGCTTTTACGTACCTTTTTATACCTTGATAGCTTTTATACCTTTCAGAAATTTAATAAGAAAAAAAGTTCATTGAAACATTAATTTATTATTTATTAACTACTCTTTTGGGTTTGTATGTTTGTAAATCTGACTGATGACGTCATTGCCTCACCAGCCTTGTACCTCACTGCACGCCACTGGTTTGTGCATAATAAAGCAACCAGATAAACCCTATACGAATACACATTTAGCTGCAAAAGTGCAGTGCTGACATCATCACAACTCTCTGCCAATCAGAACCTGTTGTGGTTCTGCTTTTCATCACAAATTATGTTTGTTAATTTGCCCATGCTCTCGTGACAGGCCACAGCTCTGAACAGTTTAGCTCCGACCCCAACTCATGGGCCACACCCCTGATGCACCTCATTAGGTCCTTCAGGCTGTTTGTAAGCATCTTTTTGAGCAGGGCTGGAAGTAAACTGTGCAGGGGTGTGGCCCTCCAGGAACTGAGTTTGAGACCCCTGCTCTAAATATTTTGACTTTGCTGTGGTGGAAACTGATGTAAAAGGTGCAGAAGTTGAAGTCTGTGGATGTTAAAACACTACCAGGCTTGAGGCGCCCTACAGGAGAGTGAATTTTGAGTTCCTCAAAATGTTTGTTTGCATTCAGCTTCAAAAGTATTATCACACCATTCCTCAATAATCTGCAGAATTTGATGCGTATTTCTTCTGTAAAGCGCTAATGAGTTGAAAAGGTCCAAAATGTTGCTATAGTCGTAAAAAAATGAAATATTTGGCCCTAAACTATAAAAATAATTAATTTAAATATCCAGTTGCACTAAAAATGTTTAATAATAAAAACAAAAAACAACAAGCAAACTCAAATGGGAGCAATAAACAGGTAAATGTATGGCAGACGCAAAGGGCTCCAGCCAGGGGAAACATAGTCACATGATAACAGCAGGATGTCATTTACCATGATATCCCATGAGTTCTTTACTTCTGAGTGACCTCCCTTGTATCATGACTTTTGCTTAATTATTTGCGCTTGAGCACAGAAGTTTGTGGATTTTGGCACATTTTGGAGGGTCTAAATGTTCTCAAAAATTTACATCCGATTTTTTTACGACGTTCGAAAGGTGAGTGTTGAACAATGAACCACCTAATGTGTTCAGCTTATGGTTCAGCTGTCGTACACGAATGAAATTCAGCATACATGTGTAGTGTACAAAGACTTAAATAAAGTAATCTTCTTCTTCTTTTACTTTTTGGCTTTTGATAGTTTAGGGGTCGCCACAGCGAATCATCTGTTTCCACCTAACTATCCTCATGTATCAGCACATCCATATATCTCTTCTTTGGACTTCCGTCTTTGGCTAAATCCACAAAGACGCAGTGAAGCTCCTTCTGACCATCTCTGTACTTCTCCATTAACAATCTCAGAGCAAAAATTGCATCAGTAGTGATCTTCCTGGGCATGAAGCCATACTGCTGTTCACAAATATCCACTTCTCTTCTTAACCTAGCTTCCACTACTCTTTCCCAAAGTTTCATTGTGTGGCTCATCAACTTTATGCCTCTGTAGTTGTTACAACTCTGCACATCACCCTTGTTCTTAAAGATTGGTACTAGGACACTTCTCCTCCATTCCTCAGGCATCTTCTCACTCTCTAAAATCCTGTTGAATAACCTAGACAGGAACTCCACTGCTGTCTCTCCTAGACACTTCCACACCTCCACTGGTATGTCATCTGGACCAACAGCCTTTCCACTCTTCATTCTCCCCAGAGCCTTCCTCACCTCATCCTTTCTAATCTTTTCAACTTCCTGCTCAACAGTATTCACCTCTTCCTCCCTTCTTTCCCTTTCATTCTCCTCATTCATCAACTCCTCAAAATACTCCTTCCATCTTCTCAGCACACTCTCCTCACTTGTTAGCACCTTTCCATCTCTATCTTTAATCACCCTTATCTGTTGCACATCCTTCCCATCTCTGTCTCTCTGTCTCGCTAATCTATACAATTCCTTCTCGCCTTCCCTCGTGTCTAACCTGGCATACAACTCATCATATGCTTTCTGTTTGGCCTTTGCCACCTCCCTCTTCACTCTGCGCTGCGATTCCTTGTAGTCCTGTCTACTTTCTCTAGTCCTTTCAATGTCCCACTTCTTTTTAGCTAGCCTCTTCCACTGGATGATGTCCTTCCTCATTCCACCACCATGTTTCCACCATGTTTCCGCCTTCCAGCTCCCCCTTCAATTTCTAACTTCAAACTGATCACCCTGTCTGACACTCTTTTCACCTCTAAAACATTCCTCACAAACTCCTCCTTCAGGATCACTCCTACCCCATTTCTCTTCCTATCCACACCATAGTAAAACAGTTTGTATCCTCCTCCAATACTACGCGCTTTGCTCCCCTTCCACCTGGTCTCCTGCACACACAGAATATCTACCTTCCTTCTCTCCATCATGTCCGCCAGCTCTCTACCCTTCCCTGTCATTGTACCAACGTTAAGAGTCCCTATTCTCAGATCTATACTCCTGCTTTTCTTCTTCTCTCTCTGTCTACAAATCCTTCTCCCTCCTCTACTTCTTCGACCAACAGTAGTCCAATTTCCACCTGCACCCTGTAAGTAAACAGCACCGGTGGCGGTCATCGTTTACCCATTGACCAGCATGTTTGGTTTTTGGCATGTTTTACGCCGGATGCCCTTCCTGAAGCAACCCTCTGTATTTACTCTGTATTTATCCGGGCTTGGGACAGAAGTCACTGGGTAGATTACTTAAAAATAAGTACTCAAAATGGTGTAAGTTATTTTGCAAAAACCTCTAAAAATGGCATCTTTTGCTCATGCTGTCCTTTAGCAAACTCCTCCTAGAGATTTAAGGCAATATTCGCTCTGTGGTCATCGAAATTTTACATTTTGCCATAAACAGGAATGTGCACGAGCCCTTTGGCTTTTTTGGCATACCAACAAACCTATTAGTGACTAAAACTGTCTCCTATACTTTTTGTCAAATATTAAATCCCTATTTCATTCATTCAATGCAAACAGAACTGAATTGAAATAATAGTAGTGTTTGGTAAATTCCACTGGATGGTGGGGTCGGTGCATGTTTTACTGGTGTGGTCTGAGCATGAGAACGCTGCTTGAAGGAAACAATACTGGTTTATAAACTTTCGTTCTCATGATCGGCTGTTGTGGAAATGCCAGCGGTTCTTGTTATGTCTGACAAACTGGCTACAAATGGGCTATTATTTTGTCCGTTCAAACTCATCTGGAATGGGGTCTGTGTCAGCGCACCCCTGGTCTGCTCAGGACCACTCAAAGCAGGTTGCCATGGTGACATGGAGGAAAAGGGGGGTGGACTGGGCTGC